TTTCATTCTCTAACTTTTAACTCATTATGAGAGTTTTTTAAATGTATTTGGTTAGTGCTCATGTCTGATAATTTAGTACAGCATTTTAGAAAACAATTGTAATTTAAAACATTTTAAACGCTCTTTAAATAAAATTTGATTTGGAGATTTTGAATTATAAAATGATTTAGGAATCAATTTTCGATTCATATGAATCACAAAAAAACAAAAGATTTTTTTGTCTGCTGTATTTAAAAAAAGATAACATTTAGTAAGACCACTTCTTCAGTTTCAAGTACAAATAAATGTAACTTGTTTAATTTTTACAGTAAAGTTACATTGAATCATTATCTAACCCAAATCTTGACATTTAATTTTTTTACAAAAGACTTTTATCCCATGCAATATACTGAGGACATAACAGAACATCTTGTCTTTGTTTCAGTGCAATGCACAAAAATAAAACCGTGATTTACTGTACCTAATAAATCCTTTTCTTGAAGAGGCATGACATTTTTCCGCAGCAAAAATGCCAAAATTTGATCCTGGATATCTGAATCATCCTTCGACTGGAAAACCTGGTTGACTGAAAAAAATTAAATAAAATAGAAAAACATTTAAATATATATAATTATTTATTTATTTCATTTTGATTTAATTCTATACAAAAACTTTTGGTTTAGCATAATTTTACATTCAAATATAAAAAGTGTTGGTTTAAATTAATTTATTGGCTTGAATATAAAAATAGTTAAATATACAAAAATAGTTTAACTTAATTTTTTGTTCAAATATAAACAAGGTGTTGATTTAACTTAAAGGACAATTTAGTGTTAAGTTAAAATTTGGTTCAAATAGCCAAAAAAAAAATAGTTGGTTTAACCAGATATTTTATTTAAATAACCTATAGAAATGGGTTGGATTTACTTAATTCTTTGGCTTAAATACAAAAAAGGAGGTTTGTTTAACTTTAATTTAGGTTTAAATAATCTTTAAAAATGGGTTGGTTTACCTAAATCTTTGGTTCAAATATAAAAAAGAGGTTGGTTCAACTTAATTTTTGATTTAAAAATAAGAAAGGGTTGGTTTAACTTGATTTTTGGTTCAAATGCAGAAAAGGGTTAGTTTGACCTAAATTTAGGTTTAAATAACCTCTAAAAGGGCATGATTTAACTAAATATTTGGTTCAAATATCAACAAACTCAACAAATATCAACAAACAAAAATAATTTAACAATTGTGTTTCTCAATATTTGACCCAAAAGTAAATCACCATTTTTTTTCCCCTTGTATGAACAAATAAACTCACCTGGACTTTCGAGGCTTCTTGTATGAACGCTGAAAGCACCAACGAGAAGTAAAAAAACGATTTGTAGAAGAACGCTTGGAATTGTTCTGTCCATTGCACTTGTAAAGTGTTGGGTTTCGCTCCTTCCTGACCAAAATCTCTTCTGCCGGACACTCATCCGCTGAGACCCTTTTAATCAGCCGTTGCAGACGTATGAATGTGTCACGGCTGTAAATCAAGAGCGTGACGGAATTGGTGGTACGTCTGAAAGCGTGTGTTTGACAGGCCGAGCTGATGTTCTGATGGGCTTTCAGGGCCAATGGCTGTAATCAATCAGAGGCCTCTTCAATACTGCTGAAATCATTCATCTCTTTTCATTTCGCTAAAAGTGTGCAGTGTCTGGAATAGCAGAACCGTACGGATGCTATGATATAACATATCGTTCTATAAATGTGCTGACTTCTGCAATTTGAAAAATTGGATTAAGATTTTAGATCTATTGCATGGCTGACAAACATGATGCAGACTATTTGAATAATGTGTAATGCTCTTTTTATCCTTTTTACATTCTTCTTATTATTAATAACATAGTAATAAAAAGGAGGACAAATGAAATTACATTAGATTCTATATTTCATTAGATTCTATATTTCATGGGGAATATTACACTGTAGGCAGTATTTAAGCATTTGTAATTAATTAAATGCTAACATATATATATATATATATATATATATATATATATATATATATATATATATATATATATATATATATATATATATATAATAATATTGAATAATTTATTTTCAGAGTTACTTTATTTTAAGCAGTTTAGCTCTGTTAATTTCTGTTCTAAGATTCATATAGTGATTACAAAACAATTGCAGGATTAAAAATTATAATGATGCTTCAGGATTTTTGCAGCCACAACCAAGCACTGATTCCTTGCTGATTGGCTAATACAGAGTACCAATTATGATGCTTCAAGCTTTATAATGCATAAAGCACATTTCCCCCTCTAAGTATGATACTTCAGTGGAGATTTCATCTTACCTAAGAGAATAAATTAAGAATGTTGCATATAATCCCCTAAACATGTCTCATATAACCATTCAGTGTGGACGTGCCATGGTCAGAAGCAGCTTTACAGAAAATAATAGATACAACAGATAAAAACACTGGTAGGAAAAATGACTAACAAAGCAATCAAGAAACATTGCAAATGATGGTAGAAGTAAAAGTTTGGAGTGCATATTTGATGCATAACACGTTAAAATGCACACCTATGAATACATATTTGTTTATTGCAATAAGTATATTATAAAAAGGTATTTTAAATATTCAAATTTAAAAAATACATGGGTGAGCAGTGGCATAGTAGGTAGTGCTGTTGCCTCACAGCAAGAAGGTCGCTGGGTCGCTGATCCTTGGCTCAGTTGGCGTTTATGTGTGGAGTTTGCATGTTCTCCCTGCGTTCACGTGGGTTTCCTCCGGGTGCTTCGGTTTCCCCCACAGTCCAAAGACATGCGGTACAGGTGAATTGGGTTGGCTGAATTATCCGTAGTGTATGAGTGTGTGTGAATGAGTGTTTGTGGATGTTTCCCAGAGATGGGTTGCGGTTAAAAGGGCATCCACTGTGTAAAAACATGCTGGATAAGTTAGCGGTTCATTCTGCTGTGGTGACCCCAGATTAAAAAAGGTACTAAGCTGACAAGAAAATGAATGAAAAAAAAATATATATATATACATTTAACGTAAAATAAATGAAATTTTCAGCCGGGTTTTAGTCAACTTGCAATATTGTCAAAAACAAACACCTGCGATCAGTTCATGAGATTGGCAAGTACCGATTGAGTCAGAAAATATGATTATCGGCCGATACTAATCTTTGGCAATCGATCAGAGCATCCCTAATATATAGTCAGAATTATTGGTCCTCTTTTGATTTTTTTCTTTTTTAATATTTAATATTAATATATTTTTAATATATTTTTTTATATTTCCCAAATGATGTTTATATTTTTTACGATGATATTTTTTCTTCTGGAGAAAGTATTATTCATTTTGTTTCGGCTAGAAAAAAAGCAGTTTTGAATAAAAAATAAATAAATAAATAAATTTAAGGACAAAATTATTAGCCCCTTTGAGCTATTTTTTTTTCCAATAGTCTACAGAACAAAACATTAATTATACAATAACTTGCCTAATAACGCTACCCTGCCTAGTTAACCTAATTAACCTAGTGAAGCCTTTAAATGTACCTTTAAGCTTTAAGAAGTATCTTGAAAATGATCTAGTCAAATATTATTTACTGTCATTATGGCAAAGATAAAATAAATCAGTTATTAGAAATGAGTTATTAAAACTATTAACTAGAAAATCTTCTCTCCGTTAAACAGAAATTGGGGGGAAAATAAACAGGGGGGCTAATAATTCTGACTTCAACTGTATATATACTGCAGGTTATGTTTGATAAAAAATAATTGTTGTTTTAGTGATGTTTAGTATAATAATTACAAAATACTAAATAAACTATATAATTCATTTTAATGATAATAAATACATTGAAGGTAAGGTATATATTATAATAAACAATAAATATTTTGTTTTTAAATCTAAATTTTAAATATGTATTTGTTTGTAACATCAGTGACACTTATATATCATTTTCATTACGTTTTTAAAATAATAAATATAATAAAATAATAAATACAGTTAGTCCAATAAATATTGAATGTTTTTAAATTATAATTATTATTTTAAGTAAAATGATAAAGGTAAGAAAAATCAAGTTTTTTATATTATATTTCTACTTTAATGTTTAATATTTTAACATCAATGTCATATTTGTTTTTAAACATTTGAATGCCACTCTAATTAAACCCAGTCGAATCAGGTTTCATTTCTTTTCAAATAATTTTAAGGAACAATGTATGCCATCAAATATTTTCCATTTGATAAAACTTAAATTGCATTGAAAAAAAGTTTGAAAAAAACATCGAATAAAAGTTTTTTTCTGTTTGGGATTTTAGCTTTTGACTGTAATGACATGATAATATTGCAAAATTACATTTCTTAAAAATTGCATTAAAATAATGGCATATTTATATTTAAACAATTATACTATATATGGTACTATATTAATCATATTTTTTTAGTTTTAACGATTATTTTCCCATAGTTTGTACTCATATATTTCATTATAATTTATGATATGACTCATGTAAATGACTCATAATAAACAAGCTCTGATTTTAAGCACGTTTGTTGTTGTTTTTGATATCGTCAATTATGGTAAATATATATTTTTTAAAATTCAATTTTCTTTTGTTTCTTTCCCTTTAAAAAATGATGTAGTGGACTTAATAATTTTCAAATTGAGTTACTGCATTTTCTTCGAAGCAACAGAGGCATCAGTGTCAATTCAAGGAATTTGTAACCTCAGATTGTTTAGACTGCCCTAAATTGACCATTCAATAACCACAAACCATATCGGATTTTTAAAAATATTGCCAACCCACATGTTTTAGTCGGTATGGTCTGACAGATAGGATTGTTTGTTGACTGAAACTGCGCAGGTTCAGTGGGTGTGTTACGTTTATTTGCTCGCGTGCGCGCGCTTCACTGCGTGCCAGAAGGTGAGCGCGCGCGTGCATTGCATGTCCCGCCCTGCCATCCGTAGCAAACACACACACACACACACACACACACACACACACACATTGCTCGACTTTTCCTTGGTGGATTGTGTATGTGTGTGTTTGTGTGTGCACGTAATTTTCATCTACTCTGGGTACAGAGGGAGGGACAGACAGAAACCTCGGCTGGCGACAGAAACCAATCAGAGCGACACGAAGCCATCGATCGGGATTTATTTATCAGACGGAAACCGCCATCAGTCTGTCAAACAATAACCTTCAGAAACCCCAGAGAAACATTAGGATGGCTGATTTTAGTATTGATCAGAAAAACCTGCCTGGCGTAAAAGAGGGTGAGTGGAGAAGAAGATGATGATGGTGCGCGTGCATTGTGTGTTTCTGCGTTAAAATAAACGGGTGACTGGCACGCGCAGCGAGAAACGCGTTTAAACGAGACGAGCGCGAGCCTGTCAATTCCTGTCAGATGACTTAAAACTGTCTTCAAGGTTTGATAGGGATCACATATAGTTAATTATTAAGGTAAACTGATTATTTTGGTTTGTCGTGAGTAAAAGCGCATAGAAAGTCAGACAGCCATTGAATATTAGCTGCACTGGGTCGCCAGGAACGACGCCAATATGTTTGATATAACGTTAGGACCTCTACCGCTTTCTCTTTCGTTGTGTTTTGCTTCTAATGTCGTGTAATGGATATCATATGGTGGCTAGCATCAGCTGTAGGTGTTGTAGTATGTATTGGCGGTTAAGCAGTGTGAATGTTGGCACGTGCTGTCAGATTGGAGCAGATTCAGCATGAAATCTTCTGCATACTGAGGATGACTGTGGTGCAACACAAGCTGTTGGTGGCTAATCATGTCGTTAAGAGAAAAGCTAGCTTTGCAGGAATTCAACCCAGTAATTTCAACCCCGTTTAATGCTTAGGGTGAATTGGTGTGGTAGTATTTACAGACACGTAATTTCTTGGGCAATCTCCAATGTAGTGCTTCATTTATTACCTGAAGTACTGTAGATGTTGTTCATATTCAGGTTAAGTAGTTCTGGCTAATCATTATGATTTTTAACGTCATAAATGCTGTCAAGAAGGTTGAGACCTCATTTGTGAGGCAGGTCAAATACACAATAGTTTTAAACGAAGTTTTCATTCACATTCAGTCATTAGTTTGAAAATTGAAGTATAAAATTTGTCACTTTTAAACTTATTGGAACCTAAGTGTTTCTTATTCTTTCTTGATTAAGTCAAAATCTTTATATTTGAGTAAAGTTTATCTATTTCTAAACGTATACATTTTAAAAAGACAGTGACATATTAACACATGAACATATAACATGACATCTACATAAACCGTAGACATATTTATCCTTGTCTAGTGTTTGATTTTTTACTCCTCCAAAAAGCCACAAAACCTGTGGGTACTTCAATCCCCTCAAACAAGCACTCGTCAGTGTGGGTATTGTTTGTTTTTGCTGTCTTCAGTAGTTTGTTGTTGTTTGGTTTCATCTTTTAGGCTATGAAACAGTGGCTCAATTCAGTGTTGACGCTTTAACAAACTAGTGTAGACTCCTAGTGCTCCTCACACAATTCAGACTTCATGTGAACATGTCTACACTCTGTACATGCAGATACAGAATTAGGAGTTGTGTGTTGTGTTCTGATGATGAACATTTCCTTTGCACACTGCATGGAAACTCCTGCATACACTCATCCCTGGTTTCACAAACAAGTTTTAAAGGCAAAATTCTGTCATCAATTACTCGTCTTAAACATTAATGAGTTTGTTTTGAATAATTCTGAAAACCTGTCACCATTGACTTTCTGAATATTTGTTTTTCCTACTGTGCAATTCAATGGTTAGAAGTTTTCGTCCTTCTTTAAAATACATTATTTCGAAGTTTACACAATAAACAAACTGTTAAAGGTTTGAAACCACTCGAGAGTGAGTAAATAATGAGTAAATCCTAATTTTTTGAGTGAACTTTCCCTTTAAGCCTGGATCCAGACTAAATTGCAAGTCTTAGCTGTTTTCACTGAAAAAAAAAAAAATACTGGCTGATCTTAACATATATCAGTAGCTTTGTTTTATCTTAAGATGGACAGCCGTAATGATATTTCTAAGGAACATGTATAAAAAGGACTTGATGTACCAACTGAACTATGGCCTAATTTTGGCATAGTCTAAGCCATGACTGGGAAACCTAGCCCTAAACTATACCTGGTGCTTAAGACAGAGGGTGTTATACAGTTGGTACAGGACAAATGATCAGTTTTAACTAGGGATGTAACGGTATTGTAAATACCGTCATACCGCAATATTAATTTTTTTCGATATTACCGAAGTCGCATGACTCGGTAAAACTATAGGTCTTCTGAGAAAATTTGCTCAGGCGAATGAAGCGAACGGGAGGTAACGAAAACTACAATTGCCATCAGCCCATGCTTGTCCATCATCCCTTGCGGTCTGTCGTTGCTACAGATCCAGTAATGCGGAAATGGAGTGTGCTGCTAGAAGCGGGGATGAAAAGAGCTGGAAAACTCTAAAGCAGGTCGCACACCAGAAGCGCCGCTCGGCGCCGCGACACGGCGCGTACATGACAGATTAAAGTATCGCACACCAGAAGCGCACATTCGAATGATATTTAACATGAAACTAATCAGATGGCGCTCTGTGGCGCGGCTGAAAAATGAACTGCGTCCTGAGCCGTCGCCGGGCGCCGCCGACTTGCGGCGCCGGTGTGTGTATCCTGATAGAAACCTATGTTTAGAATTCTAAAATACATGGCGCTGCCTGGCGCTGCGCGGCGCGCCGCCGAGCGTCGCTTCTGGTGTGCGACCTGCTTTACACGCACAGTTCAGTCCTGCATTTTCTCCGTGTAAGTTCAGACTTCGCAAGTTTGATCAAGGCTGCAGTCTCTTCTTCTCAGTTTGATATGGAAAAGCAGATTATACCGAGGAGACGGGTAAATCTTCAAAGGGAACAGTGTACTTTATAACTTCATTCACATCACCCTGGCTTCGTTGTTTCACTTTCTCAACAATAAAATGTAAACATGATTTAAGGAACTGCCTATTTTCATTTTAATATTAGCAACTTAGACAGCAGAAATGTTGAGGCGCCGTGCTGCATAAGATGAGCGTCATCTTCACTGTGTGCATATTTATAACAAAACGGAGCCGATAACAACTGTCTCCTTTCAATTTCAGTGAAAATACGAAACACAGCCTCTCTTTAGCTGAGTATCAGTTTTAAGAATCGATAATGGCCATTTTAAAAGTATAACATACAATAAGTTTTTACATTATAGGAAATAAAGGCGATCAGTCAATATACAGAATGTACGTGGTTACATTAATCATTAACTTATCTTTGCGCTCAGCAAAAACACGTTACCTGAGAACAAGTAATAGATTCCAATGCCCAAAGTCAGGGAATATGTCGTTAGATAAAGACAACAAGATAAATGAAATATCCCGTTTAATAAATATAGTGAGATTAGATCCAGCGGGAGATGCTTGATGAGAAGTCCGACTAGCAGAGCTCTCATCTGGGTAGATGGGCTGAGTGTGATTAAATGTTGAATGTGATGAGTTTTCAACAATACTAAATTGAAACTTTATTTTTTACATGGTTTAATAGTTTTTTGTTATTAAAATTGAAGTTCCTGTTTCAAAGCTTACAGATAGATGGCTAATTTGTATGTCATTGACACTTTTGGCACTTTTTTGGAGTATTTTCATAAGTTTTGTTTTTTCCTGTAAATGATTCAATAAATACCGTACCGTGACATTCATACCGAGGTATTACCGTACCGCGAAATTCTGATACCGTTACATCCCTAGTTTTAACCAATATGAAGTTGCCTAGTTTGGTAAAATAGATCACATGTCTGTGAGCAACCTATATATTAGATATCTGCTGACCAGTTAATACTGCCATCCAATATTAATTCATGGGCTGTGCATTGGCAAGGGCCTCAAGATATGATGCATATCACAATACATGGGTCACGATAGAATATATCACAGTATATTGCGATACAATAAATATTGTGATATATTGCAATAGTTTGTATTAGTATGTGTGTCATGTTATATTGACAACATGATAAAGTCAGCAGACGAATTAAAACTCCAATTCAAATTTATTTTCTATGCATTTCAATTCCTTAGAATTGCACATTGTGATTGAACAAAGAACTCACTGAAATGTATTAAATGCATATTGTAAACGCTTAACTAAAACGTATATGCCACTAAAGTCACATATAAATAAAATAAACAATTTATAGAACTAAAGCAAGTAAATATATTTTTTAAAGTGCATCAAGTAAACATAAAACTGTAACACAGTGCTTTAAAATGTGACTAAACTAAACTAAAACTAAACTAAACTCCAAAATCAGGGCTCTAAATTGTATACTAAAATGCGCCCAAAATGTTGTCTATTCGACCTCAAAATATATTTGGAAGCATTTGTGCGAGTTCACAAAATTGTTGTTGTGCACCTTTGTATTTTCCATTATGCTCACTCTTGCTTACTTCTAATGCCGTCCTACTTAACGTTTTGTTAATAGCGAATTAGCTACTTGTATCGATACTTCAGGTTGGACTATTGATACACTATCGTGAAAGAAATTATCTCGCTAGTCAGATATATCGATAATTTTGCACAGCCCTAATTAATTCAACAATTTACTTTCATAATTTCACAGTCAAAAATAAAATTAAAACTAAAAAAAAGTATATTAATTACAAAAACATATATACATTTTTTAAATATGTAAATATTTCAATTACATATTGAGTTATCTTATTGTCACCTTGGAATTATAAGGTTCTATCTGTGTTCTGAATGATTTTGAGATATTGAGCTTAAAAGTTTTTGCACTCCATATAGCAAACAGTGTGTGTGAAACATTTGTTTTTAATAAAAAGTCTTAAAATGTAAACAGCTTGTATAAATAATAATGTAAATAAGTTGTCATTTAAAAACAATATGTTAGTGACTCAATTTTGACAAAAATGTCAGATTGAACCTTATAATTTTAAGGTGACCATATAGAGTTATTTAAGTACTCTACCTCATGCTAAAATAATCTAAAAATAATCTTTGTTTTAATGATGCATTTTAATAGCAACATCTAAAGGAAATGAATTGATTTTATAACAAATACATTGGGATATATCTGGTATTAATTTAACAATTTAATTTAATAATTTCACAGTTGAAAATAAAATGAAACCAATAAAAAACATAAAACTAACATCTCAAACTGTTAACTGTAGCCTTCCATTGCTTATGCATTGGCTGTTGTATATCTGACAGTTATACAGCCAA